CACTTTAGAGTTGGACAACACTTACTTCAGCTTTTTACAGTACCTTCTTTCTTTTAGCAAAAACAGACTGAGAAATCACTGTTTTTGGATGTGTCCTTCCTATTTTTTATTCTGCCTAACAACCTTGAGGAGTAGGTTGGTGGTATGATTAACATTTTCTAAGTAGATACAAAAGGATAGTAAGTTGTTGGGGTTTTTTTTCAAAGTCATAATTCATTACCATCAGAAGTTATTGGATTTCTGCTATTGCTGAGGACACCGGAGCCTACCTGCTACTCAAATTCAGTAGCCCTTTCTCTGTTTTCCTTGACTCTTCCACTATTTTTGATACTGTATCTACCTTATTTTTCTTAACAAATTTATTAAACTCAATTCAGGGACCAACATAGTTTTCTGATTTTCTTGATACCTCTGTTGTCATTCCTTTTTTGTCTTGGTTTGTTGTTGCTCGTCTTTTTCAATATCATTAATATTGGACATTGTCCACACAATTCATGGATCTTTTTCTTCTTCGCTCACAATACAGCTTCATTTCTGTGACCCCAGAGCTAGACGTTTATAAAACAAGTTTGTTGTCATAGCCCCAAACTCTGGGAGGTTTTTTGTTTTCTTAATCTTTCCTAGTAGCAGTGCTATTATTTAGTGTCCCAATCATCAGCTTTCCCTTCTGCATCTAATTCATTCAATCTACATTTATCACCAAGCCCTACCAGTCAACAAGAATTTATTAAGCAGCTTACCTATGATAGGCGCTGCAGAGATACAAAGACAGACAGAAACACACTCCGCCCATTAGGCACATTAGTCACATTCTAATGATTGAGACAAAATGCAGATCACTGTGTACATCAAAGATATATATACAATATACACAGCCAGTCTCAGAGGAAAGGGGGGGATCAGGAAAAGTTTCTTTGCAGAAGGTGGCATTTGAACTGAGGTTCCCCCCCTTCTTTTTCCCATGGACCTATTTCTGATCTACTTCATCAGCCTTCAGTTTCTATTCTCCAAATCCAGCCAACTCATAAGAACAAGTTGTCTTCCTTGGGGGTAATTCTTCTACCCTTTTTTTAGAAGCTAAGGGCGATTCCACATTGCTTTCGTATTAAAATTTAAAACAAGTTATAATGTCATTTATTTTTTCTCATTTTCTACCCTGTCCTTGCCCATGCTCTGTGTTCCATCCACATATACCTACTTGTCACCTTTCCAGCACTCTTTGCCATTCTTGTCTTTAAATGACCCACAGGCCATTCTTACCCTCCTGGAACATGCTATCTACTCATATGTTGCAATCCTTTGTCTGTTGCTGTCACCTTCCACACACTTTCACCTTTTCAACAGTTCTTATATTCCTTTCCTCTATAAGCAAATCTGCTTATCCATAAAGACTTGAAGCTACTCTGTAAACCAGTTTCCCTTCATGAAATATTATTTTTTAAATAATCCTACCATTGAATGTCTCACAAGTGGTCACTCTAATCACTTCAGATCCAATAAATTGAAAAACAAGCATTTTTAAGTACCAACTATGTGCCTGACACAATGCTAGGCACTGGGGTTAGAAAGAAAGAAATGAAACTCTGCCATCAAGGAATTTTTATGGTCTACTGAAGATAAAACCCATACATAAAGAAGTATAAACTAATTAAATAAAAGTGGTAGTAGAGCAGTAGGGCTGGAGGGATCAGCAAAGACGTCAGTTAGAAGGTAATGCTTAAGGAGAGTTTTGAAGGAAACAAGGCATTATGATACATTCTAGGCATGGGGATGATCATTGGCAGTATGAAGACATATAGATAGAAGAATGGAGTATCATCTCTGAGGAACAGCAAAAATCCCATTTGGCTGGACTGTCGAATGCAAGAATGGAAATGATGGTTGAGTTTATAAAGGTTAATTGGTGCCAAGTTTCAAAGGGCTTTAACAGGAAAGCAGAGGAGTTTGAGTTTGATTCTGGGGACAGTAGAGACTTATTAGAGTTTATTGAGTAGGAGAGTGTCACAATCAGATTCGCACTTTAGAAAAATCACTTAGATAGCTATGTGTAAGATAGATTTGAGAGGGGTGATACAAGGTGGAGAGAGTAATTCTGGGGCTATTTCAGTAGTGCAGCCAAAAGATAGAAGGGCCTGAACTACAGGAGCAGATGCAAAATATGTTGTGACAAGATTTGGTAACTGATTAGAGATGCGGGATGAGGGAGTGTGAGAAACCCAAACTTGAATGACTCGAAGCATCATGATACCCTTAAGTGAAATAGGGAAGGTCAGAAGAGAAGAATGTTTTGTGGAGAAGATAATGAGTTCTGTTTTAGATGCATTGAATTTGAGGTACCTCCACCCAGTTTTAGATGCCTGTGGGGCCTATTAGGCAGCTGGAAATACTTGACCAGTGCTCAAAAGAGAGACCAGGGCTAGATGTATAGAGCTGGGAGTTACCTGCCTGGAGATAATGAAATCCATGGAAGCTGAAGTTACTGAGTGAGAGAGTGAAAGACTAGAAGAGAACCCAATAAAGAGCTTTGTGGAGCAGCCACATTTAGGAGGAATGAACCAACAAAGGAGATTAAAAAGGAGCAGGCAGACAAGTAGAAGAAGAACTGGGAGGATGAGCAGGAGAGGGAGAACATACTCGCTCCTCCCATAGCTTCTCCTCCTCCTGCTCTGAATATGCAGTTAACATGTATTTATTTCAGTACAGGTTTGGAAAGATTTTTATGTCCATAGTCATAATAGCCAATGTTTATGTGGTGCTTTAAATTTTGCACAACACTTTATAATTATTTCATTTCAGCCTCACAGCCCTACTGGATAGGTATTATAGATGCTATTAAAGCCCCATTTTAAAGATGAGGAAATACAGGAACAAGAAGATTCAAATCATTGTCTTTCTTAATTCCACGCCCAACGCTCTTTCCACTATACCATACTACTGCTTTTTTTGTGTGTTCATTCACGGATGTTTGTGGTTGCTTATCTTCCTAATATCTATTAATTTATAAATTCCTTAAGGAAAGGGACTTTCTCTTCTACTCCATCCTTAACTCAGGGACTTAAGACAGTATTTTCTACACAGTAAACCTTGTTGAAGGCTGCTTAACTTTAAGCAGTTTAGCTTTGACTTAAATATTCATTTGATATCTGAAAGATTTCTGTGTTTAAAAAAAGATGAAATTATGTTTCTAGATTGTAATAATTAGACCTCATTCTGTCTTCCTTGACCCCACTACCATTGCTGACTATGTTAATGAAAGAAGATAAAAAAGAATAAACTACAGAAAAGCTAAAGGTTTTGAGAGGGTAGGAACAACAAAGGAAGCTGTTATCTCTCTTAACAGCAAATTCTTCCACCACTCCATTTCTCCCTCCTTACACTCACTTTGCCATTTGAATAGTTCCCAAGGCCCATCCCAAATAGCTAAAGTCAACTTCATTATGAAACAAGTTGTCCAGAAGTAAATCCTAGTTAGTGTAGGAAGTTCTAACTTTGGCTTGGCAGGAAGAGTTAAGGTGTCTGTTAATCTAGAGTCCCAGGGGTGGGTAACCTGCGGCCTCAAGGCCACATGTGGCCTTATGTGGCAGGTTCCCCCCTCCTGATAGATTGTTCTCAATAAACTCCCCAAATAGATACTGTAATTACTTAGACTATGTTTGTTATGCTGTAATGTGTCCAGTTCCAGCCATAACAGTACCATAATAGTGTTTTGGTTAGTCAAGTCAGTTTCTAACATTTTTCTGTTGATATTTTAAGCAAATCATACACTATATATGCTAGATATATAAATTAGACATGATATCAAGTTATCTAAACCTTTCTTATCTAAGTTGCTTTTTCACACTAGCCCAAGTGAAAAGTAATCAAAACTTTAACACATATTTCACAGCAAAATGAGTCATTTATCTCAAAAAATAGGTATTGGCAACTGGCTTTTAATTTTTTTCCCCATCAACCACAAAAACATGTTTTCCCACTAAGGAAAGGTCATATGCACTTTATGTGATAATACAGCTCTGTTTGTCCCATTATAGCATATACTGTGTGGCATTAAGCGGAGCCTGAAGAAATCTAATTAGAAAACTTAACATTTTATCCACATAGATGTTAAGTGATAGATATTGTCAGCTATTAAAAGTGATCGCTGAAATTTGATATTGAATATTATTGAAAAAATGCTTGCTTCTACCAGCTATATTAAAAACTGAATTTTAGTCCATTAAATTCAATTTTGGTTCAAGAAATAGATAAATAGAGCTGTCCACAGTTCTCATCTTTCCCCAAAAGAAAGTTGGATTGCTGGGATATTGGGAAACTAGGAAGAGTAAAAATGCACCTCCCCTGAGTTCTGAATGACAGTGTGTTTTACTAGGCATAGCTAAACTAAGAGTCAGAACCGTGCCCATCAGTTATCATTAGTCAAAAGGAGGGCTTGGGCTTTATGGGACACTTTATTGGGTAACTGGCAATAACCAAGGCAAATACCCTTTAAAGCAATATATTTTGCTTGCATGGTACTGTAATTTTTACTTACTAAGGCAGATATTTCAAGTTACTGAATTAGTAGGTAAACAGCAACTTCTACAAATCAAATGAAAGAATAAGCAATAAACAATGAATTTCTCTTTTTTACTTAACAGGTAATTTGCTACAGTTGAAAGTTTTACAAATATTCTATCACCAAATAGAAATGAGATAGACTGGTTCTAAGCTTAACAGACCAGAATATTACTTCAGTGTTTTGAGTTATTAAGCAACTGAATTGAAATTTGGGAGCATAGAATGAAGTAATTATTTGGGTGGATTATTATTACAGAGGATTAATTATTTATGTTTTTATTTGACCAAAAGCTTAACAACCTTAAAAAAAGTAATTAAAAGTCTTTTATATATGTATTACTAAAGAAAAAAATCAACTCCTCCCAACACATTATAGTAAAATCTTTTAAAAGGGTGAAGTTGTGTTTACTTTTACTTGAAGTCACCAATTTTGACTTTTGCAGTGTTTGAGCAACACCCCTCCACTTACTGAGTATTTCCTCAATGATAAATATCAAGAAGAACTGAATTTTGACAATCCCTTAGGAATGAGAGGTGAAATAGCGAAATCTTATGCCGAACTCATCAAGCAAATGTGGTCCGGAAAATACAGCTATGTCACCCCAAGAGCCTTTAAGGTTAGTATAATGTGCATGGATGGAGGGAATGCCCATATTAATGAAATTATGAATTCATTGAAATATTGCTGTATGAAATAAATTGAAAGGGTTTTTTATATAAAATTTACCTGAAAAGCATAGTAAACCTTTTTCTTTAAATTTAAAAGATATAAAGTTTAGCATATTATTGAAAACTTTGGGTCTATTTTTAAGTTCAGCTTGCTGCAGTATACTTTTTCAAGAAATTATTACCATTCAATCAGTTTAAAAGGTGTAATTTAACTATTAATTGAATTTATTTTGAACAAAAACATTTACTTTTTTAGTGATGAAGAGAGCCTAAGTTCTTTGGTTCTTATATTTGGCACATGCTGCTCTCCAACTTTAGTGAAAACAAACTCATTTTGAGTTTGTCTTGTATATAAAATGTGTATATATACAGGCATAGACACACATGCATACACATGTACACCCTTGTACCTATGTGTGACTGAAAAGAAAAATTTTTACAAGTGATATAAACATTTTCTGCAAGTACATTAATAAAATTTCCCCAAGTTCACCTCCTAGACAACACTTTGTTGGTCTCCTACTAATTAACTATCGGTATTTGATTTAAAAAAAAAAAAAACTCACATCTTAATACTGCATAAACTATCAAACTGGGTTGATTTTGGTTAGTTTTGAAGAACTGATTTTTTTTTCTTTTTTGTTCTTTGTTATAAGGAAAAGGGATAACTAATAAATTTGAAAATGAAGGAAATATAAAAACAATTTATCTATAAAAATTTTAAAAGAAAGAAAACTGACTTTCTGTAATCCAAATTACTAACATTTTTCTGAAATAATAACCTTTCTACTCCAAAAATTGAAAATATGTATGTTTATATATGTACCACATATATACCTCTATATGTATATGTGTGTATGTACACAAAACATAAAAATGTAAATATTACTATTGCTTCGGTAAGGTATAAATATTACCTCTATTTTAAACTGAATAACATAATTCTTCCAGTGGCACAGATAAAGGTACCAGAAAGAATGCCCAGTCTTCAGTGGTTTCACATCTTTTGTCCAGATTACAACCATTTTATATCTTGTCTTTTTTTCCTTTTTCTAAAGAATTTCTATTTTACAGTATCATGTTATCTTTTAAAAATCGTAAACATTATTAATCTACATGTGATAACATAGTCATTTGAAAAACCTGCCAATAAATAAATGGTTGTTGAATTTGTTGAAAGATTATTGGGTTGACCCACAAAATGCTAGGAGCCATTTCCCAGAAAATTAGCAGTGAAATGATAGGAACATTTTTTCACAAGAATTTCAGACTATCAATGACCACATGAAAACATCCCCTAAATTACTGGTAATAAGAGAAATCAAAAGTAAAATAATTTAAGATTCAGCTCACACCATGCGTATCAGCAAAGATGGTAAAAGAGCCATCCATGTTGAAAGGGCTGTGGGATGAAAGATCCACAAAGCACTGTGGGTAGAGCTGTGAAGTGATCCTACCATTCTGGATTTTGGTTTGTAATCATGCAACTAACTGTCCAAATGCTTTGAAATCTAGCAATCTCACTCCTGGGGATATACCCCAAAGAAGTAAAAAAAATAAACATCCATTATATTCCAAAATATTCATGGCCAATAATGGCAAACAATGAAAAAAACAAATGTGGATATAACAGAATATTACTTTACAGTAAGAAATGATGAATAGGAAGAATTAGAAGAAACATCAAAAGATTATATGAACTGAAATGAAAAGTTTACAAGCATATAGTAAAAGTGACTAGAGCCACATAACTGAAAAAATCATTGAAAAGAAGTTGAACTTAAAGTAATTTTTTTTAAAACACTGAAGGTCCTGGAGAATATATAAGGAAACATAGCTTCTCTCTCATAACAGAAAAGTGAGAGATTAGTAGAGCCTAATATTGAATGTCTGTTGTAAAACAGGTCAGCTAGGTAGCACCATAATACATAGAGTGCTGGGCCTGAAATCAAGAAAACTGATCTTCCTGAGTTCTGATCTGGCCTCAGAGACTTAGTGGTCTGTGTGACCCTGGGCAAGTCACTTAACACTCTTTGCCTCAGTTTCCTCAATCTGTAAAATGAGCTGGAGAGGGAAATGGCAAACTACTTCAGCATCTCTGCCAAGAAAACTCCAAATGGGGTCACAGAGAGTCAGACACGACTGAACAGCAACAACAGATTGTCAAACAGGGGTTCTGTAACCAAAGCTTGTGCTTCATTGTTTTTCTTTGGCACACGGGAGAGGGAGAGGGATTGAATTGTAAAACGAGGGGCTTGGACTCTGTGGTTTCAGAGATGCTTCCCTACTCTAGTCTATAATTGTGTGAAATGAATGCTATAAAGACAAGTGTCAAAACATTTTTTTAAAATTTCATTAGGCGGAAATATTTACATAAAGCACTCTATTGAAGATAGGTGAACTATAGTGGGCAGCATAGTGCAGTGGAAAAGAACTCTAGGTTTGAAATCAGTGGATTGCTGCCTCTATAACTTTACACAAGTCACCTAACTCTCTTGCTGCCGTTATTCATAAAAACGGGTTAGATTAGATGACGTTTAGGAGTCCTGAGCAGATGCAAATCTATAAAGCCATGAATTTCAAGAACAGGCTGTGGAGGTTTTTGTATCTGGTACGTGATGATGTAGAGGCCTAATACCAAAGGACCAGAAGTAAACAGAATTGTTTCTCGAGGGATCTGTTTGTTATATGTGTGTTATTGAGGTTTTCCCCCTCAGTTCTAATTCTTCAAGTCAGGTAAAGATACAAAATAAATAGTCAACTAACAGACATTTATTAAGTACTTGTCATGTGCTGTGAAAATAAAGACAAAAATGGAATACTCCCTGCCCTCAAGAAGTTTTCTTTTTATTGGGAGGAAAAACTTTGATAACTGTAGCATCTACAATTACTTGAGTTTTTACAAAGTACAGTAAACAATGTGTAACCATGCTTTTTGAAAAATTCATTAATCAGTTCTGTACACAGAACTACATTTGCTTTCATTGCAGACACAAGTAGGACGTTTTGCACCTCAATTTTCTGGGTATCAACAGCAAGACTGCCAAGAATTACTAGCTTTCCTCTTAGATGGTCTACATGAAGATTTGAATAGAATTAGGAAAAAACCTTATATTCAACTGAAGGATGCTGATGGAAGGCCTGACAAGGTAAATTTCCCTACATTGTTACCTGGTGTAACATTTGTAATTTTACAATAGCGTATTGTAAAAATGTGTTTGTTTTATTTGTAGGTGGTTGCTGAAGAAGCCTGGGAAAACCATTTAAAGAGAAATGACTCTATCATAGTAGATATATTTCATGGCCTTTTCAAATCAACCTTAGTTTGTCCTGAGTGTGCTAAGATTTCAGTAACATTTGATCCTTTTTGTTACTTGACACTTCCACTGCCTATGAAAAAAGAGCGTACCTTGGAAGTTTATTTAGTTAGAATGGATCCACTTACCAAACCTATGCAGGTAAATATTATTATTTGCAGGTAAATAGCATTATTTGTGTCACGCTTATAACATTAATACAGATTCATTTTGAACCTTCATTTTTTGAACCCAATTTAGGTAAAAAATAGGTTGATTATATGTTGCCAAGGATATATGTACTCAAGAATTTAAGACATAGTTTTTAGAATAGTAAAAATTTCATAATTGTGTGACATTACTTTCCCTATAAAAGTCACAAAAACAAAGCAGTTCCTACCCTCAAGGAACTTAGATTTCATTGTGTTTTCTCTCAACAAGTATTTATTAGATGTCTGGGCCATTTAGTTCAGTTTATTTATCTTTCAAGTTCTCCATTCTTTCAGTCTCCTTTTTCTTCCTGATCAAGATACCTAGTACCCTCTTACTAACCTCTGACTAAATTAAGTTTTCCTACTTTGGCACTTCACCTAGGATACTATCTCATATTTAGACTTTTCCTGATCTCCTTCTGCAATAAAATTGAAATATGTCTTACTCATTACGGCCGAGTCAGAGGACTGACAAGGTAATCTGATAAACTAATTTGAATTAATGATTGATGTAAATAGTTAAGTTACATTAATGTGTTACCCTTCCCAGATTAAAATTTGAATTTCAGTGCCCAGCCTTTTGGATTTTAATACCAACTTGTGAGTTCTTAATGGGGCACATGGTCAGAGTTAGTGATAAAGACATTTTCGGTTAGGGGAACCTTAGAAATCTGGTTATTTAGTTGTGCTTATGGATAAGACCTGTAGTGAATGCATGCCCTGTTTAATTGAAAATGGAGAAAATTTCTTTTTGCTGAGAGAGTCTGGTCGAAAGTACGTGAAATCCATCAGTAAAAAACCTACTACTATTGCACAAACAACTAAAAATGCCATGTCATTTTTATCTTTCCATGCAAAGATTGCAAGGTATTCCCTATAATGCAGTTATCATACAATATGCATATATTGTTCAGTAATAAGCCATGATATAGCTAATGTATGGATTTTTTCCCCCAGTGGACCTAACAGTTACCTCTGAGGTTATTGAATATATCAGTTTTTAGTTGCAGCTTATATTTTAGTACCCTCCTCCCCTGGGAATCAAACTTGGACTGGAAAGGGACAGAAGGATATGAATGATTTTATTTTATATGTATATATGTATGTATGTATGTATGTATAGTACTCTAAGAATTCCTGTGGCTTTCCTTACAAAAACTTTGTGAGGTAGGCCATTCCAATCTTGTTATCCCCATTTTCCAGATGAGGAAGCTGAGACAGAGAGTCACACAGCTAGCAAATGTCAGATCCAAAATCTGAACTCTGGATTTGTGGCCCCAAGACCAATTACACCCTACTGCCTAGTTATCCAGAAGTACACTCATGGACTTCACTCTAAGCCCAGATCATAATTGATATGCCTAAGGAGTGCTCTATATAAGAAAAAAAAAAAAGACAATTACAAATAGGGAACCTTCCAAAAGATAAATTAGCATCCTCATTTTTACTTTACTGATGCTTTTCCCAAAGTAGATTTACATTGACACCAGGGAGGGAAATACCAGACTTGCCTTGCCCCCTACTTCCTCCTCCTCAGTCAAGTGAAACTGTTTTTCTCATGAATATCTCTTTTTTCTGCTTCACTTCTTTGGGGCTTATCCCATACTCTTGGCAAGAATAAAGAAATGAGTTTACGGTTGGGAACAATTCACAGCTGAAGACACGTTCTGCTTTCTGCTTGATATAATATCAGATTTTTTTTTAATGAGGTTAGAAGCTTATTGCCCTTTAAAGTCAGTTTTTATATTCCCCTCATTATAAATACAGTCTTATAGATCTCTCAGAGGATGAAATGTGTTCAATACAATGAGCCCATTAGGGCTAACACACTTTCTCTTTCTTATTCTCACTTTCTCTCTGTCATTTCTTTTATTTGTGTAGAGACAGAGAAAGAGAGAAACATAAAGGAAGAGAGAAAATCTGGTCACTAGATTACCTTTATACATAAGTATAAATTGAGGTAGCCATTATCTGTCAGTAAGCCGTCACAGACGAGAACTCTCAATAGTCACTGCACCTGGAGAAAAATAGTCATACTGCAACTTCTATCTCGTATTTTGTCATTTTCAGGACTTTCATATATGTGATCTTGATTTCCCCAGTTCTTTGATTACAAAATAGTTATAAGATATAGCTAGTCTTAATGGATTCAAATCATTACTTGGTTAATACAGCTATAAGACATAGCTAGCTAGTCTTAGTGGACTAATGGACTTAGTCGTAGTGGACTAGCTATGTCACATAACTATATCTGAACAAGTAATGAGATCCCTTCCAGTGCTTAAATTCTTTATCCCTGCAAGTAATGGGGCAAGTGGGAAGGTAAAACAGGAAATTGTGAGAAGAAAAAATATTTTGAATCTGAAAGAGAACCATCCTTGAAATAAGGAAGATACTAACTCTTTGACAATGGGCAAATCAGTTAGCATGTCCAGGCCTCCCTCAATTTCATCATCTGTAAAATGAGCAAATTGGACTCAGTGACTTCTAAGGTCCTTTCCAGCTCTAAGTGTGAAATACTATAAAATAGAAAAACATGAGTAGTTTTTGGTTATTCTTTCAAGTTTTACGTTTTAAATGAAATAAACATAAGTCTTTTTCTTAATACTTAATTATCCATGAAACTTTTTCTATAAGAACATACAATTTTTATATTTTGGTTTATTGAAGAAAAAAGTTCTGGACAGGATTTTTTTTAAGCAAGCTCTTAAGTCACTAGACAGGCATTTTTTAAGCGCTTATATGACAGGCACTGTGATGGGCCTTAGAGATAGAGACAGAAATGAAATAGTCCTTGCACTGAAGGAGTTTATATTCTATCAGGATGGAAGTACAAAGTGGGGGAAGGTGGGAGTGGACAGGTTAACACCTGGGAGTGAGGGGTTAAGAAACACTTTATAAAGCAAGTGGCTTTTAGGCTGAGCTTTGAAGGCCACCGAGGAGTCTGAGAATCACAAAGAAGGAGGGAGCACGTGCACATTCCAGGCGTTGAAGTTGGCCTGTGCAAATGCATGGAGCAGGTGAGGAAATGTGTGACAGAATTTCAAGAAAGGCCTATTTAGCAGGACTTTAGGGTGCATGATGGGAAGAGTAATGTAAGGCTAATAAAAAGGTAGGTTGGGGTCAGGTTTTGAAGAGCTTTAAATGCCAAGCCACAAAGTTTGTGTTGAATCCTGGAGGTAAAAAATAGTGACTAGATCCACTTTTTTACTTGAAAATAGTTTTATGTGCCCTTGATCAACTAGATAATCGATGAGAATGGAGAAGAGTATTGGCATAAATAAACAAAAATTCGTTTGATCTCTGGAAAACATTTTAATACTTAGACATGTAAGTATATGGGACTTACAGTACGTCAGATAAAACCATTCTCTGGAAGCACACTGAAGAATAGCAGGGAAGATTTTTCTGTTTCTTCATCCTGTTACTTATCTCATTCCATTCAGAATATAAATCCATCATTAAGAATTTATTAGATTCATGTTATGTTCCAGACAGTATGCTTGGGTGGGGGGTGGGGGTGGATACACATTCAAAAAAAGGAGCAGTCCCTATCCTCAAGGAGCTTACACGGTGTAAAAGGAAATGGCACACACATGTTCAAAATGTATAAAATAAAAGATAATGGGGGTCACAGTAGCTGGAAAGATCAGGAAAGACTTTGTGTTGAAGGTAAAGTAGTAGCTGAGTTTTGAAGGAAATAGGGGATTCTAGGAGGCAGAGGTGAGGAAAGAACATGTTGTAGGCATGAATTGGGGTTAGCCACTGCAATTACAGAGACCTAGGAGATGGCCTGTGTCGTGCTTGGAATAGCAAGGTCAATCATTCTGGCCCACATGGCTCACAGATTGGAATAATGTATATAAAGGTTTTGTTGATGTTGTTTGTTTTTAAAGTAGTTTGGGACCAAATTGTGAAGAGTCTTAAAAACCAAGCAGAGGAATTTGTTTTATTTTATGCTTCAGGCAATAGGGAGGCATTAGTCTTTATTGAGTATGGAGTAGCATGGTCAGACCCATGCTTTTAGCAAAGTACCTTTAGCTATGTAGAGAATGGAAAGGACTTGAAGGAGGGAGACGGGAGGTTGTTTCAATAATCCAGGCCGGAGGTATAAGGGCCTAAACGAAGGTGGTGGCCATTTGAATACAGATAGATGTGAGAAGAGATGTAGAGTTAGAAAAAGACAAGATTTTGCAAATGCAGATACGTGAGGTAAGGGATCAAGGAGCCAACATTGCAAACCCAGATGACTGGAAGGATGATGACTGAGTTGTTGTTGTTTTGGGTTTTTTGAGGGGGTTGGACAGAAATAATGACTTTGGAAGAGATTTGTGTTTTGGAAAAAAGATAATGAGCTCTCTTTTGGAAGTCAAGGCTCAGATATCTATTAGGCATCTAGTTTGAAATATCCAGTTGTCAGTAGAAAGTGCATAACTGGAGCTCATGGCTGAATACATCTGATTTTGGAGTTATCTGTGCAGAGAAGAGTGTTGGGAGAGAGAGAAGTGGGCCCAGGACAGAACCTTATTGTTCACACACAATTGGGGTAGAGGGGGAAGTGATGTGAGTGATGCACTAACAAAAAATATTGAGAAGAAGCAGACAGGTAGGAGAAAAACCAAGAGAGGAAATATGGGAACCCAAAGCAAAGAGAGCATCCAAGAGGAGAAGACTGATCAAAACAGTGTCATGTTGCAGAGGTTGAGAAGAAGACGACTAAGAAAAGACTATTGGATTTGGCAATTAGATTATTTATTACTGGAGAGAGTAGTTTCAGAATTGAGTCATAATGTCATAAGCTAGATTACAGGAGGTTGAGAAGTGAATGAAAGCAGAAATACTAGGAGTAAAGCTACCAATGAGTATGAAAGTAGAAGAATGTAAGTGGTAGAGCCAGGGATGTTTTCACTAGACCCCACTATTAAGAAGAAATAAAAAAACATTTATCTTGTGCTGCCCTTCTGTCATTGATGTGTTTTTCCAGTAACAAATTTTATTGAGCCATTTTTTTCTTACACGTTCTATTTTTGAACAAAACTATGCATTTTTGGAATTTGTAGACTGAGGGATAGAACTTTTATTCTGTGCAAAGATATTGAATCAAGTATAAATGTTACCATCATTAGTTAATTAGCTGACCTAGTTGTACACAAAGCCTTATTATAGGATGAATCACCCATTTTGTAGGAGACTTTGGGGTAAAGAAATGAGCCAACAAATGATTTAGATCATTGAAAGTGCTCGTGTAATGTAAATTACATTCATCTACTCCTTACTCAGTTTGTTGGAAGTAATAGTATATGAAAAGGGTCTTCTTGCCTAAATCTTAACATTCTTCAAAAATGCTGGATTGTAACTTCTTATTTTGTTTTTTTTGTTTGTTTTGTTTTTGTTTTGTTTTTTGCTTAGTACAAAGTAGTTGTTCCCAAAATTGGAAATATACTAGATCTTTGCACAGCTCTATCTACTTTGTCAGGGGTACCAGCTGATAAGGTAAGATTCTTTTTTTTTTTTTTTTTTTTTGAGACAAATACATATAACCTAACGTTTAAGTTTTCAGCATTGTAGATTCAATTTAATAGCAATTTTTTTATTTCCTTTTAGATGATAGTTACTGATATATACAATCACAGATTTCACAGAATATTTGCTATGGATGAAAATCTTAATAGTATTATGGAACGGGATGATATTTATGTGTAAGTTCACATCATATGTTGTGCAATAGATTATCTAAGAAACATTTACAAAAGAAATATGCCATTCTGAAGTTTTATGGTCACTATTCTTCTTACAGATTTGAAATTACCATTAATAGAACAGAAGATAATGAGCAAGTCATAATTCCTGTTTGTTTAAGAGAGAAGTACAGACACACAGGTTATAGCCACCATAGTGGTTCATCACTCTTTGGCCAACCTTTTCTTATGGCAGTACCTAGAAATAATACTGAAGATAAACTCTACAATCTTCTATTGTTGAGGATGTGGTAAGTGCCTGCCAATTTCCATTAAAAGTAAATGAGAAATCTAAATAAATGTCTAACAAAGGGCATGTAAAATACTTTCAGAACATATATGGGTGGCTGTTATTCTTGGAGGGTTGAGTGTTGATAGGCAGCATTTTAAAAGATTCTTCTTTAACCCCCGCTAAAAATATTTTTTGTGCTATTATGTTTACCAATTAAGTTATGTAAATTCTTGGCAGATAGCAGTCCTGATCTGTCATTTCCTTCCTGAGCAATAACATACTCTTTTCAGTACAAATCCATGCTCAGTGTATTTTAGTGCTAGGAGAGGAACCTTAGAACTCATCCAATCCAGCACCTTCATCTTACATATATGTGGAAATAAAGTCTCTTGAATGTTATTGTGAAGAAAAGGCATTATCTTTGCCATTAACTTAAAAATAAAGTTAAATTTAAGACATATAAGTTTTAGAATTAATTTCACTTGTTAGAAATAAAAGAAAATGTAAATGCAGTACTGGTCAGTTTTACTTGTCATACTGTTTTATAGTGTGAATTTACCTTTGAATAATACCTAGGTCTGAAAACTGCCCACCAAACTTTTTCATTATAAAGTTACTTGCGATTGATAACAAAGAGTGGGGGGAGAGTGGAATTAGACGTTGTAGAATATACAATATATGGTTTGCCCTGATTTTATTTTAGCCGTTATGTAAAAACATCTACTGAAACTGAAGAAACAGAAGGATCCCTACACTGCTGTAAGGACCAAAATATTAATGGGAATGGCCCAAATGGAATACATGAAGAATGTTCCCCAAGTAAGAGTTGCCTATTTAAATTTTAGAAAGTGTTCACTTTCACTGTTGTTTGAGGTGTATTTGATCACCAGCAAGAACTTAATTCATTTTTTAAATTGCTAATTCATGTCCTTGGAAATAGCTCTTAGACTGTATTGGTTTTCATTCTTTAATTCCCAGCACCTGGCATAGTTGTGCTTAATAATGGTGGTAGAGGACAGGAAAAATGAGCTAACACTCTTGAAGTCCATGGGATTCATTTTTAAAACTAGTAAATTTCTGAAATGAACGGTCTTTTCTTCAAGTAATTTATTAACTTCTGATTTACAATTTAAGAGTGAAGAAAATACATCTTCAGGCTTACTTGAAGTTTTTGTTTGGTTGTTTTTAACTATTATACCTCCTCAGGCGAAATGGAAACAGATGAGCCAGATGATGAGTCCAGCCAGGATCAAGAACTTCCTTCAGAGAATGAAAACAGTCAGTCTGAAGATTCAGTTGGAGGAGATAATGATTCTGAAAACGGATTATGTACTGAAGAGACTTGCAAAGGTCAACTTCTCATGGGACACAAAAAGCGATTATTTACATTCCAGTTCAACAACTTAGGCAATACTGATATCAACTACATCAAAGATGATACTAGACATATTAGATTTGATGACAGACAGCTTAGACTAGATGGTAAGTTTCTTTCTGAATAAGGCCTTGAACACTAATTTGGATCAAAAATATGTTTGTTTGTTTTTTGGTCTATGGAATTTATGTACAGAAATTTACGTACTCATATTTATCTTTTCTTAAAGTTTTTTTCTGTCTACGAACAGGACAATTTTAACCACTGTTGGAAACTTTAATTTCAGAAATGAGTAATATCTATTCAAAACTTATATTGCAACTAAATTTGTATTGAACTTATGCCAATAAGATCCCTTTTTAAAAAAAATTGCTAATTTATGGAAATGTCCTTGGAAATAGCTCTTACACTGTGTTTGTTTTCATCTTTTATCCCCAGCACCTGGCACAGATTAAGCTCATAGTAAGTGCTTAATCAATGATTATTGAAGTAAATGAAATAGAATTCCCCTCATTACCCAAATATGTTAAAAATGCTTATTTAAACATTGACAGATTAAACACTTTTAGATATTTAAAAGGAAAAAATATGTTTTTCATCTTAGAAAGATCTTTCCTTGCTTTGGATTGGGATCCTGAATTGAAAAAAAGATACTTTGATGATAATGCAGCTGAGGTAAGTCACTTCATTAATTCATTGTTTAGCATCCTAAAATTAATGATGCACACTAATTAGAGTGTTGACATGTATGTTGAATCTGTTTAGTACACATAGTTTTTCAGCAGGCTAAAAGAGACAGAGCTTTTCAAAAAAGACCAGTAGTTCAAGCATTTGCCAAAAAATACTGAAAAGTTCATTAAAATATGTTTATATTTAAAAGGTTGTGGTTTTAAAGGCTATTTTAGAAACTTGTTAAAAGTATTAGCTACAATATGATTTGATACTTTCAGAGAAATTCTTCGTATTTTAGGAGCTTGTCGTTATTTTTCGTAGTAAGGATGATATCACTAAAATGAGTTTTGTTTCATTTGTTCTCTTAACTCAAGAAATACTTCTCTTTAGGATTTTGAAAAACATGAAAGTGTGGAATATAAACCTCCCAAAAAACCTTTTGTGAAATTAAAAGATTGCATTGAACTTTTTACAACAAAAGAAAAGTTAGGTGCTGAAGATCCTTGGTAAGAGACAATGTTAAATAATTGTTTCTAATGATTTCCTGTAAGGATTTGTGCCTCAGGTATGTCCTTCTTGATGTGAAAAATTAACTGATTATTAGCCCCTTGCTTGATAAATGGTTAATAAACACTGATTTAGGTGGTAAATCTATTAAGTGATAGTATTACTTTGAGAATGTGCATAACTTCAACTATACCTCTGTGTGTGTATGTCTGGGTATAGCTACATTTACATTTTCAGATTACAGAAATATGAATTAAATTCCAGTTCACAAATTTTATAGCTATTCTAAAATATTTGTCATGGAAAAGTCCATGTCTTAATGGATTTCAGGTAATCCAGATGTCATCCTTGTAAATTGTGCTTTTATGTATTTTTATTCATCTCGTTAAATGATTAAAATCTATTAGAACATATGATAAGAGGAAAGAAACATTACTTTCTGTTAAAGGTGTGGGAAGGGCTTCTCTGTTTTTTTTTCAGTTTGTTAATATTAATTTGTATCGTTTGCTGCTTTTGTTCATTAACCAAGTTTCCAAATATTTCTCTTTATTTCAGGTACTGTCCAAATTGTAAAGAACATCAGCAGGCTACAAAAAAATTAGATTTATGGTCACTGCCTCCAGTACTGGTGGTACATCTTAAACGTTTTTCTTACAGCAGATACATGAGGGATAAGTTGGACACATTAGTTGATTTTCCTATTAAGTAAGTTTGAATTTGCATTTGCTAAATATTAGGAAACCACTAATGTTTTTTAGAATTAATGGAATTCTCATTCAAGATAATTTAATATTTTAGTTATAAAAATGTGTTGACAATGTAAATCTGGATAGCACTTGGTGATGACAAACAGTAGAATAAGTTTAAATTCTGAGTCCCCAAGCAAATTTTACTCTATCCCAGGGCCTCCCAGAAGTACTGTTTGGCAGGCAAAAGCCAACAAATAGGAGATGTCTGAGAAGTAGTAATATCTGTAAAAAAAAAAAAAAAAAAAAGTAAAATGTTACTGACAACAGAAAGTGATATTTACTGAATTTGTAATAATCTATCAATAACTTGAGTTTTTCTCTAAACAGTGACTTGGATATGTCAGAATTCCTTATTAATCCAAATGCAGGACCTTGCCGCTACAATTTGATTGCTGTGTCCAACCACTATGGAGGGATGGGAGGAGGGCACTGTAAGTTGACATTTTATGTATTATCTGTAGTCATAGTCTATAAACGTCAAGATTTTAGTCATAGATATTAAAGGTGATAAGGTTTTTAAGGTATGAATTTGAACTTGTTAATTTCTTGGGGGGAATGTCCGTACAGTGAAAAACAAAATCATTATACGTTAGAGATAGACTCTTAAGATCAATCACTGAACACCTACTGTCCAACCCTAATTTATTTAACAGAGTCTTGTGTTTCTCTGTAGCAAAAGATTAATTTTAAGTTTCATGCTACTCTTACCAAGGAGTATCCAAAAAAATAATAGTCTGTGAAATTGTACCTGAGTTTACGTACAATGATGTTTTATAGCTGTCTTAAGAGCATATGATTAAGGAGCTGGATTTTACTTTCTTAATCCCAGTTGTTATTTATCTAATACAAAAAAGAAGGGAAGAGTGGAACAAAGGCAACAGGGTTCAAAACAAAAAGTTGGGGTGTGATTTGTTCAATAAAGATTTACTAAGACCCTGCTCTCTATTGGAGAGGCATTCTTACACATGCTCTGGATACAAAGACAAACAAACAACCATCCTTGCCTTCAAGATACTGGCATCTTCCCCAGAGGTGCAGCAGATAAATAAATACAGGATAATTTGAAAAGAAAGAAAGCACTAATAACTATGTGGATCAGGAAAGGCTTTGTAGAATGAGCCTTAAAGAAAAAAAAAAGAAAAGCTTTAAGGATTTATTAGTTTTTCTTTTGGCATTTGTAATGTGAATTGATTTAATTGACTTGAAATGAGAATTTGTGAATTGATTTAAAAATTACTTAGGTACCAAATATATGATTTTTTAAAATTAATATTTTCTAGAAAATCTTAGGATAGTGAAACTTTAGAGTTGACAAAAGTATGGCAAATAATTTTCTTGGTATGTAACTTGGAGCAGAAGGGATGTTAGTCTCATTCAAGTTGTTCAATATCGCAAATGGTCTATAAGAAATAACTCCTAACCAACACACAGGTAATTAAGCATTTTGTGGATTTTATAGATATGTTTCATATATGTATGGTTTTCCCATTTAAGTAGTTTTAGGCAAAGTATTGATAACTCTCTAAAGGGATCACGTTTCACTCTAGATACTGCTTTTGCAAAAAATAAAGATGATGGAAAATGGTACTATTTTGATGACAGTAGTGTCTCAACTGCTTCTGAAGACCAAATTGTGGTAAGTACCTGCTTTTGTTGTCTGTAAATCAAAAAGATTTTTTTAGACTGTTGAAATTAAATTTAGATATGAATAAAAAATACCCACAAAAAGGGATATAACCTAGTTAGTTTTGTATATAAGTATTATATTTTATATAAGTATTCTAGTGATTCAGGAGTGATAAACATTAGTTCCCCTTGATATAAGGAAATGTAGAGTTGCCAAGCAGATAAGTCTGTCTTTTAAGTTTGAATAGTAACAGAGACAAGGTTGCAACCTTTTCATAGGGGCCCTTCATCTATCCTCCTCTGGAATCTTGCTTCATCAGTCATCATTTCTCTTGTCTTATTCTTTCATCTTTTCCTCTGCCTACAAGCATCTTCATTTCTTTCCACCCCTTCTCCAGTACTCTGGCTCTCTTATCTTATCAGTGTATATTTTCCCTCCATGCAGATCATATTATGCAGATCATAATCCATCCATGCCTTCCTGGCCTGTGCCAGTCTTGTCCATGCACTCAAAAAGTTACTACAGGGGGTCCACCCAGTATGCTATTCCTTGTGTTCTCTTGGCATTGGGTGGATGTTAGTGAGTCAATAAACATTTGTTAAGCACTCTTATATACCAGACACTGTGCTAAGTCCTCAGATTTGGTTACCCAGAGAAGTTCGTCAGTGTTGTAAGTCAGTTTCAGGATGGCATATTTGCGTGAGTTCTGGATTGTAGAGTAGGCTCATGCATTTTCCCAGTCACCAGTGAAGTGAAGCAGAACGGTGTACTTGCGTGATGTTTTCAGCAGTGTTATCAGACGCCTTCAATGAGTACGAAAACAGCATCAAGGTCAGCTACCTCACTGATGATAAATTATTTAACTTGAGAAGGCTACAAGCCAAGACTAAAGTAGAAGGAGAGTTGGTGCATGACTTTTTGTTCACAGATGATTGTGTACCCAGTGCAGCCTCTGAGGCTGAAATACAACAAATCAGTTTTCTATTGCTGGTGCTAATGTTGGCCTGACAATTATCACCAAAAGAAAAAAAAAGATGTCCTCCACCAGCCAGCACCATACCATCCATACATGGAACCATTGATTACAGCAAATGAAGAAATTTTGAATGCTGTGAATAAGTTCACTTACTCTGCCAACATACTTTCTAGGGATGTACATATAGATGATGAGGTTAACGCACACATTACTAGAGCTAGCTCAGTGTTTGGGAGGCTCTGAAAGAAGGTGTGGAAGATAAGATGTATTAGGCTGCCTACCAAACTGAAGGTCTACAGAGCCATTGTACTGACCTCATTGTGGTATGTCTGTGAAACCTGGACAGCATACCAGCACCATGCCAAGAAATTGAATCACTTACATTTGAATTGTCTTAGGAAGATTTTGAAGATCACCTGGCAAGATAAGGTACTGGGCACTGAGGTCCTTTATTGAACTAAACTGCCAAACATTCAATCTCTATTACAGAGAGCACAACTCCAGTGGACTGGCCATGTTGTTCAAATGCCAAACATATCTCTGCCTAGAAAATTCACACAGGGCAGGCAGTCACATGGAAGTCCCAAGAAGCAGTACAAGGAACTTTGGGATCAATTATGAGATATGGGAGACACTGGTACTGGACCGCCGAGCATAGCATCCCCACATCAAAGAAGGCCCTGTGCTCTGTGACAAAACAGAATTGTAGTAGCTCAAAAGAAACCTGAGGTGTGCACATACTGAGACTTCTCCACTCCAAATGTCCACGTGGACTATTTGTGCCCAACCTATGGTAGAACCTTCTGAGCTTGTATTGTGTGTTGGTCTTAGAAGTCACAGTCAGATGCATTCTATCTTGACTCCAACATACTGATGTAATTTTGTTCTTCTTTGAGCACAAAGGACAGCAACCAACCAGTGAAGTATTCAGAATTTTAAAAAAAGAGGCAAAAGACATTCCCTGCTCTCGAAGCTTACAGTCTGATGGAGGAGACAACAAGCAAAGAAATATGTTCAAACAAGCTATTTGCAGGGAAAATAGGAAATAATTTTAAAAGAGAAAGCACTAGAATTAAGAACAGTTAGGAAGGCTTCCTTTAGAAGATAGGATTTTAATTGGGTTTGAAGGAAGCCAATACGTGGGAAGGGAGGAGTGAGGGCAGCATTCTAGGCATGGGGGACAGCCAGAGACCATGCCTATAGTCTCATTCATGGAACAAAAGCCAGTATGACTAGAGCAAAGAGTACATGGCAGGGAGTAAGGTGTAAGCAGACTAGAAAAGTAGGAATAGGTTATGAAGAGCTTAGAACACCAGAGGATTTTGTATATGATTCTGGAGGCAATAGTGAGCCTCTAGAGTTTATTGAGTAAGTAAAGGCGGGGGCAAGATCTGCTTATGTGATATGATTAGACCTGTGTTTTAGGGAAATCACTGGCCAAATGGAAGGTGGATTGTAGCTGGGAGGGACGTGAGGGAGGCAGACTCACCAGCAAGCTGTTCCAATAGTGTGAGCATGAGTTGATGAGGGTCTGCCCCAGGGCAAGGCAGTAATATCAGAGAAGAGAAGGGAGCATGTTCAAGAGATGTTGCAGAGGTAAGATTGACAAGCCTTGGCAACAGATTGTATATGGTGGGGTGACGGGAGGTAGAAGAGGGTAAGAGATAGCACGGAGTCAGAGTGAGTATGGTGGACTGAGAGGATGTGTTGCCCTCACGAGTAATAAAAAAAATTAGGAGGCAGGCAGAGTGTAGGAGGAATGATAATGAATTCCATTTTCAGCATGTTGAGTTAAAGATGTCTACTGGATGTCTAGTTCAAGATATGTGAAAGGTAGTTGGAGATGCAAGATTGGCAGTCAGCAGAGAGGTTGGGGCAGGATAGGTAGATTTGAGAATCATCACCATAAAGATGGTAATTAAATTCATGGGAGCCAACGAGATCACCACCTGAAATAGTACAGAGGATGAGGAGAATAGGGCCCAGGATAGAACCCTATGGGACATCTATGGTTAGACAGCTGGATTAGCATCCAGCAAAGAAGACAGAGAAGTGGTCATATAGCTTGGAGGAGAACCAAAAGAGAATGATGTTCCAAAATCCTAGAGAGAAGAGAGTAACCCCAACCCTAAGCCCTGCACCTATCAAAGTCAGCAGAGAGGTTGAGGAGAATGAGAAAAGGTCATTGAATTTGGCATTTAAGAGGTCACTGGTCATTGATAACCTTGAGGAAGTTGGAAGCCAAATTGTAAGGTATTAAAAGGGCGAGAGGAGAGAAAGTGGAGACACCTAGTGTAGATGGCCTTTTCAAAGAGTTTGATCACAAAGGGCAGAAAAGATAGAGGATAATAGCTGGTGGAGATGGATCACATGAGAGTTTTTGAGAATTGGGGGAGACATGTACATGTTTGTAAACAGTAAGGAAGGAGCCAGTACACAGAAATTGAAGATGAGTGATAGAATTGAGATTAGAAAGGGGGCAATCTGTTGAAGGAGACAGGATAGAAAGGTGTCTCTTGAACAAGTAGAAGGGGTTAGCCTTGGTAAGGAATAAGGCCATTTCATCATGTGAGACAGGAATGAAGGAGGAGATAGTGGCAGAAGGCATCTAAGTGATAGAAGATGAAGAGGGGAGGAGGAGAATTTGGAAGTAATAGATGATAGGAGTTGAGGAAGAAAGGAGAAGACAGCTTTGCCTTAGTACCTCTCTTTTAAAACTGTCCTTTTCCTGTAGCTTCAAGTACCCTTTTTCTCTCACCCTTTGTGCTCAAAGTATATATGCCCATACGCAGGAAGAGATTGGCCAGCTGTTAAAGCCAGCCTAATTTTAATGACCCTCAGATGACCTTTAAAATCATTTGCTTGCCTCAGTCTATGTTTTATTATAGGATACCTCAATCTAGGCATGAAAAAATCTAGACCCAATAGATATCCTCTTCCTGTCTGTCCACTTAGTCCATAGGGCTTTTTCTTCCTGTTTACTGTTATATATAGCGTGCTTAGATTCATTGAGCAGAAAAAAATTACCCCATAAAGAAAGTGATTTTCTCCATTTGGTCAGTTGCTTAATAAAGCTCTAATAACTTGCTAAAATAAGCAAGTAGTTTTATTCCTCAAATTATATGAATGAGCTGGACCTCATCTATCAGTATATATGTAGCTTGGATAGATATTGCAAATACAAAATGAGAAGAATTCAGAATTGAATGAGAAGAGAGTGAGCTGTCTTTATTGCCTTTGGGAAATTACACAAATCTTTTAATGAACCCAAACTTCTACCTGAAAACAAAGGTCCATCTTTTTCAAGCCAGTATTCAAGTGATGTATATTTGCAAATCAAGGAATAATATAATCCAAGAAGAATTAAAGTTGAGAATCATTCAAAGATCTTTAAAGAAGATTATGTGGCCATGAGCAGACTGTACACATTACAAAACAAGGAATTATGCAAAAGTATAAAAGGATGGTATCCGAGAAATATTTCTCTTGTCCTTAAAAAAAAATTTGCTTCGGTTCAGTCATCTTTCCAGCGTACTTACCATCCTCTCCTTTCCTGCCAAAACTCTGGGGTAGAGATCAGCAGACTCATGATACTTGCTTGCTTTTATACTGCCTGAGAGCTAAGAGGGGTTTTTATATTGTTAAATCAAGTTATATTGTATTTTAAAATCTAAAAAGCATTCTTGGGCCACAGGATTTGGCCCTCAGTTAGTAATTTGCTGATCCCTTTTCTGGAGAAGTTATTTTACACTTGTATGTGTTTTTCTTTCTTTCATTTAGTTCAATACCTCCAAGTCAATTTCATCTTCCTGTGCCTCCATTTTCTCATCTGTAAAGTGAGCAGATTAGAGTAGATGGTCTCTAAAGTTGCTTCCAATTCAAAAAACCGTGTGATCCTTGGGGGTCCACCTTCTTCCTCATTCTACTGAACCTGCCTTCTCAATGATGAATTTCTTTTTAATTTTTTTCTTTTTATTGTTTTTTTGTTTATTTGTTTTATATTTTCTTCATTTCCAAATACATCTCTCCTCCATCCAGCAAGCTATCTCTTGTAATCAGGATTAAAGAGAATAAAATGCAGTTTAGCAGCATTAACCAACACATCAACAAATCTGACTCCACAAATAATGTTCCAGACCCATGGTCCCACATCTCTGCAAAGAAGGGAAGAGATAAATTTTTTCATCTCTTCCTTGGGGCTAAGTGTGATCATTATAATTGTACATTGTTCAATTTGTTTTTTCATTCTTATTGTCAAATGTAGAGTTGGAAGGGACCTCAGGGGCAATTTAGTCCAAATCCCTCGTTTTACAAATAGGGAAACTTAGGCCTATGAATATTAAGTGACTTGCGTAAAGTCTCACAGGCATTAACCACCATAAGTGAGATTTGAACCCAGGTTTTCTGACTCTAGAGTTAGTACTGATTCCACTGTACCACACTGCCTTTTTATTTATTACATTGTTGGAAACATTATGTATATATATATTGTTTTCCTGGTTCTGCTTGCTTCACTCTTCATCAGTTTGCCCACATCTTTCCATGGTTCTTTGAGTATTTTTTATTCATCACTTCTTGTGGTTTAGCACTATTCCTTTACATTAATATCCAGTAGGTTTTTTTTAGCTCTTACCCAATCAGTGGACGTTTGCTTTTTGTCTAGTCCTTTGCTACCACAAATATTGCTGCTATGACTATTTCATTCTATCAAAAACCTTTCTGTGTTTGACTTCCTTGGGATATATATGCCTAATGGAGGGATAGTGGAATAAGAGGGTATGAAAATTTAATCTACTTTCTTAGATTAAATGCAGGTGGCTTTCTAGAGTTATTAGACCAATCCATTTCACTGATCAAATAGTGCATTACTGCACCTACCTTTCTACAGCCCCTCCACCCTTGACCCTTCCCAACTTGTGTCATCTTTGCCAGTTTGCCGATTGAGGTGTAAAACATGAGTTGTTTTTGATTTGCATTTCTGCTATTATTAGTGGTTTGTGGTCATCTTTTATAAATAGTTTGTAATTATTCTTTTGAGAACTGTTCATTTCCTTTGACCATTGATTTGTTGGGGAAAGGCTTTTGCTCTTATGTACTTGTGTTAGTTTTCTATAAATTTTAGATCAAATTTGTGGGGTTTTTTTTTAACTCCAGTCAGCAGCTTCCTCTTAATTTTAACTACATTTGGTTTTTTTTTTTTTTACAAGTTTTTCAATTTTGCATAATTGAAATTTTATCCCTTATATGGTTAAGAATTTGCAGCCCTTGCCCATAGCTATGAAAAGTACCTGATCTTATTCTCTTCGAGTTTTGGGGATGAGTTTTTTGTTTTGTTTGTTTTGTTTTTGTTTGTTTTTTTAAATGATGTGACCTTTAAGTGATTTTTCTGCTTTGAGTATATTGTGGCATGTGGTGTAAGATGGTGTAAATCATATTTCTGCCAAACTGTTTTCCAGTTTTCCCAGCAGTTCTTCTGAAATAGGAAGTTTTCTTTTCTTGAGTTTATTAAAGACTACATCATTGAGATTGCTTGATTCTGATTCTTCCTTATGTATTGTTTTACTTTTCTACTTTTTTTAAACTTACCTGTTATTATTTTGCCTCACTCTAAAAAGTATCCCCATGGCAAAACAATGGTATTTTAATCTCCAATCCCAGTGACCTTTTCTTAGTCATTATCCTCCTCAACTTCATAATGGCCCTTTTGACCTCCTCTTCCTTTTAAAAACTTTGTTCTTTAGCTTCTTTGACATTCTACTGTGTACTGACTGTACCTCTTTTGTTTCCTTTATGCAAATTATTGTCAAAGACTGGCCTAGATAGCAGAAATTTTGTCAAAGTCTACATGCTGGAGATACAGAGACAAGAGTAAAACATTTTGTGGCCTCAATTAATCTACCTTCTGACTGAGGGAGACGTACCTGTATGAACTCAAACAGAATATATACAAAATAAACACAAGGTAGTTTGGGAAGGGAGAGTACTAGCATCTAGGGAGCTTGGCAAAACCTTGCAAAAGTTGACACTTGAGGTGAGTTTCAGAGGAAGTGAGGGATTCCAGAAGGTGAGGAAGGAGAGTGAGCCAAACCCAAGCAACAACTAGGCCAAAGACATGGAGACAGGAAATGGAGCACCATATATGAGGAACTGCAAGTGGAGTAGTAGGATCAAACCATAGAGTTTGTGGAGAGGGGGAAAGCTAATAAGAAGCATGGGAATGTAGGAGAGAACCAGACTGTGAAGAGTTTAAAATGCTTGACAGAAGAGTTTATATTAGATCCTAGGAGTAATAGGGAGATACTGAAGTATAGATTGGGTGAAAAAGAGGGGTGGGTAGTGACATGGTCACACCTGTGCCATAGGAACATCCCTTTTATCAGTCATATTCAGGATGGATTGGAGTAAGGAGAGATAGCAGGTAGTGGGACCAACCAGGAGACTATTGCAATAGTCCAGGTGAGAGGTGATAAGGAGTCCTGAACTAGGGTGATGGTTTTGTGAGAAGGGGAGAGGTATCGAAAGTGTTTTGGAAAAAGAAATGACAAGATTTAGTCACTAGGTATATGGATTGAGGAAGAGTGGGGAGTACACCATAATAGCAAGAATGTCATACTCCTGGTAGTAATAGGAAAGTTCAGAACGTAGGGTGGTGTGGGAAGAAAATAATTAGTTTTTGACATATTGAGTTTAAGATGACTGTGGGACATCCCAGTTTGAAATGTCCACTAAGCAGCTGGTGAGACTGGGGTACAAGAGAGAAACTAGGGTAAGAGGAGATGGTTACCAAGTGAGAGAACATAGAGAGAGAGAAAAAAAGAGGACGGAAGTCAAATCCTAGAGGTCTCACACACAGTTAGTGGACGTGAGAATTAATGATTATCCACCAGAGAAAAGTAAGTAGTGGTATAGAGAAAGTTAGGAGGAAAACCAGGAAAGAACCATGTCACCGAAACCCAGAGAGCAGATCAGTTGTAAGTGGCACAGAGGTCAAGAACAATGAGGACTGAGAAGAAGCCATGAGATTTGTCAGTTAAGAGATTGGTGGTAGCTTGGATAGAGGCTAATAAATAATAAATTTTATCCTCAATCAGTAGGATGCCTTTTGACCAAAAGCATCACACAATTAAAAGAATATATCAGCTAATTTGATTGGCCATCAATTCCTTCATTTGGATAAATGAGGGAGTTTGTGTAGATGATCAGGAAGGTCCCTTCCAGTTCTAAAATTCAAAGAATTCTGTTAGATCAGAAACTACAGCTTGCTTTCTGAGTTTGTAATTCCTGGACAGGGCTATATATGTATATAATCAATATTTAGTACATATTTTAGATGCTGTTTTGAACTAGTTTTGATTTACCCTTAATTACATTTATAATATAATTATGTTATTTAGTAATTTGTTGGTATAGTAGTGAGTCTGAAATAGTTTTTATTTATGTAAATAGGATTCTTCACTCAGTGTTTTTTATCTTATTACTAGAAAGAAAATATACCATGGTAAGTTTTAGTCCATTAAATGTTTTTTAAAGTAGTTCTGAGTGCCTCAGTTAACTAAATTCCTTTTTTATCCTGTCTACCTTCATTAAGTCACGTACTATTCACTTACTTGACTTCATCTTGCTTCTCAACCCATATCAGCCACCATCTGAAAATCATTACTATGTTAACACTCTTTGTCTGTCTGTCTGTGTGTCTGTCTGTTTGCTCCTACAGTCCAAAGCAGCATATGTGCTCTTCTACCAGAGACAGGACACTTTCAGTGGAACTGGCTTTTTTCCCCTTGACCGAGAAACTAAACAAGGTGCTTCAGCTGCCACAGGCATCCCATTAGAAAGTGATGAAGATAGTAATGAGAATGACAATGATATAGAAAATGAAAACTGTATGCACACTAACTAATGAAAGTCCTAGAAGCCATAAAAGAGAGACTTTCCTGCAGGTGGTTTCTGTTGAAATAATGAAGTTACCCACCACATTAAAACAGAAGTCTGAGATGGGGAGTTTCAAATAAGAGAATGTAAATCCTTTATCAGATTTTAACTTGTGCAGTACTTGAAGTGAAACACAATGAAAACTTTAACAGAAATTGTCTCTTAATACATTTACAGTCTTGTATTTACAAGCTAAATATATATAGGAAATCACAAATAAACCCCTTTTAAGTTTGCTGCTGTTTTGATGAATTATGTTTCTTTAATTGTTTTGAATGTGAGTTAACTGATGAGAAATGTTAAATTTGTGGATGTTGGTCATTTAATTTACTATAATAATTCTGCAAGAAAACAATGACTGAACCTAGTTTTTGGATGAACTTATTCATGTATATTAGGCAACCATTCATACTACTATGCTATTTAGCTGCACTAGTAAATGTGGCATAAATACTGCAGTAGTCTTCTTGGAAAACGAAATTTTCACATCTTTCCCTAATAATCAAGCTGGCCTCTTAAGAAAAACTGAATAATGTTGAAAGAAATAAGCTCAGAAAGGTCATTTCTCTTCGTGGTATCATTAAACATCAAGAATATTATGTTCCTCTAACTGCTGCTGTGGAGCAGGCTCTAGATTTCTTACTGCATATGAAGTCATTTTTCAGTTAAATATTCCTTATTGCTGTTGAATCTATTACTTAGACATTAAAATTCTTAACTTGCGTATAAGAAATGCATAACTTTAATCTGGTGTCAGTCCAAAGTTTAAATTTGTGCTGCTCATTTTTCTCTACCCCATTTTTTTCAGTTTGGCAACTTTCAGCTCTCCCAATTATTATAAAATAAGGTCAGACTTAATAGTATTCTATATCCATAATAATAACTGTACATCAAGCATAGATGAGATTTTTTTCATATACTTGCCTTTAAATCATTAATGGACAATTGGCTTTAAAGGTAGGTCTGTTAATTTTCTTTGTGTGTTCCTGATGGAATTCACCATAGCCTTACAGCTTTTCTCAGAAGGTAACTTGCTATAAGAGAATTGGCATTTGCATGTTCCAGAGTCAGAACCTGTACAGCATATAAAGCATACAAACCTTGAATTTGATTTAGTTAACCACATTCAAGGATTCAGGATGCCAAAAATATGTGTGAACATTTTAATCATTTTTTTTATTTGCTGCTTTCCCTTTGATCTAGTTGAAAGAATGTATTGTTGATTGGCATACAATACTGCCTTTACTAGGAAATCTTTTAAGTGCTGGGACATACTTCACATACCTACCTATGACCTGAGGAATTGCTTTGTGTCCCACTGTTATTGAAGCAAAAAGTATGATGTTCTTCACTTGAACTAATCAAATACAATAGGTTATAAATTGTGTATTGTAAATAAAAGTTCACTCTGTGAGTGCACATTTTGGTAAATTATTTATTTATGTTAGCATTAAAGTTAAAAAGAGGGGGAAAAGATGCATTTGACCAGGATAAACGAGGTATGTTGAACATGGCTTTTGCTTTATACCTTGATATTAAAGCTGGTGTTTCATCCTGGTATTTTAAAGCTGCTTTTTGGATTTTTTTTTGTTTGTTTTTTTTTTTCTAATGTAAACTAACCTCCTGCATGACAGAGGTTAAAATTTTGTCTGCACTTGAGTTCACTTGAGTTTACATTTGAAATGTGCATGTTTATTTATACAGATTTCAATAAAGCTATTCAAGGCCTTATTTAGTCTTTCATTTCTTACTCTGAACCTTTTGACAAAAGCTTTTATTTTATAGGTAGGTGACCAAAATGCCATTCATTAGTTATTGTATCGTAATTATAACTTAATTATTTGAAATGCTTCTAAACAAAAATGTGTCATCCTGATAAGGGCATATCATAAAGGCCAGTTTTAACTAAACATCTCTGTTTTGATGTTCATTTTTCTGAAAGAGAAACAGAAACTCAAAATTGTTTTTCTGTACCTAGATTGTAATTTTTAACTTAGCAAGGATAGATACATGTAAGACCAGAGATCTAAAATAGGATGGAGTCATAGTAATCCAGCCCCCTCTTTTACAGCTGAAACTGAGGACCAGAGAGTTTTTCACGTAACCCAATTTTATACACCTTGATAAAGAAAGTAAAAACTGTCCTAACACAACTGTAAATGGCAGAGACAGAATTTTAACTCTGGCCTAGTGACTCCAAGTTCAGTACTCTTTTTACTATACCTCAACACATTATAACTAATTTTAAATGTTTTAAATTATTACTATTGGGATAGAGATTTGACCTGTGATTTCACTCAGAGAGGAACTTAACCTTCCTTTTCATTTGTAGAAACTCTGTACGAGTGTGGCTCAGTACTTTCTCTGCAATTTTAAGTCCTAGGAGAGGTGATCTGCCCCTATCCTTTGGCCAACAAAAGGAAAATTAAAGCAGTACAAAAAGTTTAAACACAACCTCTAATTTAAAGGAAAAATTAACATTAATACCTTTGTATTTTAAAACCCTAACAAGAAGTCAAATGACTTAGCTTGATATGAGTATGTGACCATTTTTTAAAGTAGCTTAATTTAACCAAAACTGTTTTTTCATTAAATCAAATGTCACATTTTTCAGAACTTAACCCCCCTTTTAGATTCCATCTGTTTCCCTAACATAAGATCTGTTTTTTTTCCCCATATATCTGCAAATTAAATGATGCTACAATAGATTTTAGGTTCCTTATTCTTTTTTGTTGTTTTTGTTAATTTAGAGCATCTGAAGTTCATCTCTAGAAAGGAGCCTCATTGTCATTGAGTTTCTAAAATTTTATTTCATGTTTCTTGTACAAATCATGTTTCTTTTGTAACCCTATATTTTACATCCATCTTTTCTGGCACCTAAATGCAAAATCATTAATTTGTGACAATGAGTGAGTGCTTAGCCATATGGACAGTTTAAAATCAGGCTTATTGCTTTTTCTACTAATTACATGCTTTTATTAAAACAGAGGTAAGTAAGCCTTAGAAGAAATGAACCAGTGAGTAAGAGAATTTCAGGAGCATACTGTAGTTATTCAGAGTGGGAACCTACCCTTTCCAGGTTTGACCTTATGAATAAAGTTTGAAGAACTTTTGCATGATCTAGGTGCTGCCATCCAAGGTCTAGAATCTCAGAAGAACAGGAAGAAAAGTGAAGAAGGATGTTAATTTCTGAAGCCACAAAAAACTTTGCAAATTAAGAGAGAAGAAATGGTAGAATTTTGTTGTTGTTTATTTATTATTTTTGTCATTATTAAGCTAGAGATAGAAACTAGACTTGTGATTTCCTTGGTGTTAGGAACTCCCAAATGAGAAAATACCTTTTACCAATGAAGGTCAGAACCTTTTCTGTAACTTAAGAGTCTTAGAGAGTTCCCTCGAGCACTGAGAAGTTAAGTGACTTTGTACAAAGTTAACTCAAACCCAGGTTTTCCTGACTCTTTTGCCATTTCTATCTTATGTGCTGTGTTGCCTTGCATTGTTAGTATTGCTTTAATAATCTTACATAGACTAAAATACAAGTAAATTAATCCAAATACATTTGAAATTCAACTTTTTTGAAAATATAATTTATATTTGTTCTTATAACTTTTGAAAGCTCTGTTCCACCAAAGAATAGAAAATTAGCCAAGTGAGTTTTGTTCATGTAGATTCTCACTAACCTTTCTGTTTTGTTTCAAATTACATAATCAAGTTTGACTGTGGGGAATATTTCCTTTAGCACATCTGCATATATTCAGACTTGTACTGATTATTTAAATTCAGGAATTTACTCCTATGCTGGAAATTTATTGGCCTTTCATACATTCATAAGTATTTAATATGTTTTGTTCTTTACTATAAGCAAAGAATGTTGAAACAAACTACATAAATAGCAATAAAGAATACTTAAAACTGAGTTGAGAAAAGTAAATTGTTATAAATAATTACAGTGAAACCAGATTCGGGAATTTTAGATTTCCTATAGGTTAAATTCTAAGGAAATGAGGCATATCTTTTTAAAAATAGAGCTAGGAGTAGGAGATTTAAGTATTTGGGCTTGGAGTCAAGACCTGGTTTCAAATCCTGGCTCCTACCCTTGTGTGAACCTGCCGAAGTTATTTAGCCTCTGTGTGCCTCAGGAAATTCAATAGAACAGATTAACTAAGGCATTGGGAGGGTTTGAAAATGTCTTAGTGGAGAGAGTTACTATATTGAGTTCTGTGTACTGAGGAAATCACAAAGCTTTACCATATTGGCATATTAAAAATTCAGATCAGTTTGAAAGTCAGTTCTTTCAGAAGTGTCTAGGATATATATTCCATGAGTAGCTAAACTAATGTGTTTATCTCATTTGCATGTTATTTTTAATACAAATGCCATAAGAGAAAGTTATGTTTGTTCAAATATAAATATTTGAATATTTCATGGAATCATAGATTTAGAATTCAAAGGGGCCTTAGAGGCCATGTAATCCAGCCTCTTCATTTTCCAGTGTTTACCAAGCAGACAATCCAAGAGATGAGGTGATTTAGCCTAAGGCACCCAGGTAGTAAATAGCAGAGCCAAGATATGAAATGATGTTTCATCAATTGAAATGAACTTTTTCATTTGCAAAATTTTTTAATCCTCATTTTCAGGATTGAAATGAAATTCAATTGGGTTTGACTTCATTGCATCTTGAAAATAAAACCCCTACCAATTTTGAAAAACAGCTGTAGAAATGAGTCCATTTAGCCAGTGTCATTCCTGAGGGAAAATAATGAAATTATAAAAGGTACAAGTCAAATTCAAAGGTGGCATCCTAAAACACTTTAACCTAAATGGTTCAGACCCTAAGTCACTCATTTACCTTAATTTAAAATGGGCATGATACTGACATACCCTACACAAATATTATGATCAATATATGTGGAGTCAAAGATCTAGAAGGGCCCTCAGAGGCCATATAGTTCAGTCTTCTTTTTTGCATTTGAGGAAACTAAGGCTCAGAGATGTTATTTGCTTACTAGTAATAAGGGTCAGTGGTGGGATTTGAAACCAGGCCTTCTTAATCCAGATCCTGTGTTCTTTCCACTACCATGCAGCGTACCCAATTTGAAGAGGAAAAAGTGAGATTAACGTGTTTGTAACTAAAACCAAGGAGACTTGTTGTTTACATGAAGAGGAATGGTAAAAACATCCTTATATGTTGCCAAGAACAAAGTAGATTAAAGTCTTTAAAGAAGTCCTAAGAAAGAAAGCACAGAAAATCTTTGGTTAAGATGACTATCTAAAAGATCACAGAGAATCCCATCTCTTCAGAAATAAACCAGAACAATACCTGACAACCTCTGAATGAATGATAAAAGAACTTTTTTTTAATCCAGAAGTAAATTTTTCCATCTAGCCCAGTACTACACAAAAGTAGATCCTGAAGCTCATCAGAGGTGAGTTGAGGAGTTCACACCAGGGTCACCAGAAAGGCTCTGTTTCAGGGAAGATAATAAGCATACCCATAAATTAACCTGAAAGTTAATTTATACATTATAATATTATATGTGTGTATATATATGTATACACACACACACACACACACACACATATTGTAATAAATAGGGCCGCTAGGTGGCACAGTGGATAGATCACCAGCTCTGGAGTCAGGAGAACCTGTGTTCAAATCCAGCCTCAGACACTTGACACTTAGTAGCTGTGTGACCCTGGGCAAGTCACTTAACCCTGATTGCCTGAAAAAAAAAAAAAACCTGAAGCCAATTAGCAAGAAGGGGGAGAGAGAGTATATGTACATGCCATCATAAGCCCTATTAATTGGGGACCTGAAGCAGGATTCCCAACTACTTTGTCAAAAAAGAAGCAAAGACAGAAAAGGTCCCCAAAGATCACTTCATAGGAAGATAGCCCAACTGTACATTACTTTGAGCACTGGGAACCATGTGGTTGACAGGGTAATAGCAGCTGGGTGCTAATGGCAGGGTGCCATATAGTTAAAACCAATCTAATCTCCCAACATCTCACTGGAGTGTGATGAAACCAGTTCCCAATTAGGGATCACACAAGGTTCTGGTCAAAATTAGAATCCTAATTGGACCACTAAGAGATTCGGAAACCAAGGACTGAGGACTAGCCTGGGGCCCCAATGCCAGCTATGCCTGGATGAACAGGAGTAGAGGCATCCAGACTACAATGGGGTTAGGATCGATCAAGGCCTACCCAACCTACCCAAGAAAGCCAGAGAGGACTGTCCTAATCACAGTATCCCAAACCAAGAACAGACTGGAAATATAAGTAAACAGAAGAAAACATTGGATACAAAGAAGAAATGCTATTTGTTAAGTGACGCCCAAGTGAGGTAACCCAGAAGAAGGAAGTCCATAATACTTACGAGTAGGACCTTGGAAAGTGAAGTGACTTAGCAACAAAAG